TGGGTTTGATGTTAGGGCTTATGCTTGCTAGGCATGAGCTCTATCTGCCATGTCAACCGTGCCGCCAGACTTTTTTTGGCTTATTTTTCTGAAAGGGTCTCATACTTTTTCCTTGGACTGACCATGGACTGTGATGCTTCTAACTATGCCTCCTGTGTAGTTTGGGATTACAGACATGTGCCATCACTACCCAGATTGTTTGTTGTGATGGTGTCTTTTAAACTTTTCCACCAGGATGGCCTTAAGCAGCCATCATCCCAATCTCCGCCTCCACGTATCTGGGATTCCGGCATGAGCCACTGCACACCACCTAGGGCTTCACTTTTATCGTTGAAAAGTTTAACCTCTGAAATAAATTTTTCAGGACTATGTTGCTCTTTGTTTATGCTTTTACCAGAATTCATATCTCTTCATCTGTTGTCTTATGAATCCACTCCATCAGCTGCTGTTCTCACCCCATCCCCCAAACTGACCTTCGCAAGATCAGTAGTGTCCGTGCTGCCAGTGCTCATCCTGTGAGACCTGTGGACAGGAATGGAGGACACTCCTTTGTTTTCTGGAACACGGTCTCTCCTTGTTTATTTCTTCACTGAGCACCACCTCTCTCTTTCCTTTGGCAGTTATTGCTCTTCTTCCACAAGCAAAAATATCAGAGACCAAGGGCTCAGTTACTCAATTTCTAACCAGCAGTGCTGAGCTTGTTGGTGATCTGACACAGGATCCTTACTGAGAAGGTATCTACAGCATAGGTTGTAAGGCTGCTTATCTGATGTTCAACTATCTATCTGTGTATCTCTCTCTCTCTCTCTCTCTCTCTCTCTCTCTCTCATCTATCTCTCTTTATCATCTACCTATCTATCTAGAGTGATAGTGACACCACACCTGGGTTCTAATTTGTTCTTCTAATTTTGTTTAAAATAAAAATATTGATGTTGATAGTGATATGCTGGGAATTTTTATTGGAAATATATTGATCTCAGTAGAGGGATACTTATATACAATTATGTTTGATTTAACTCTTGTTGATTACTTGCATTTGTTACAGTTAGTATATAAGACTTATGAACAAATGAGAAGGAAGTTCGCTAATTTCCTGTAAATGCACACATATACAACAGTAACTCTGAAATAGATGAAGACACTGGTGCTCTCTGAGAACTGAGAATTTTTTTTTTCTGAATGTAATCTTTGGGGATCAACCATTGTCCCATTCTCACCTTGTGTGAAAAAGATTGTCTTTTGTTGAGAGTTGTTGCTGAAGTAAAAACCTCCAGTGTTTCCAATCCAGAGTGAAAAGCACAGTGCTGTGGCTCAGTGACAGCTCCTAGGGTGTGAGTGTAGTGTTTTCCTGGGACCCACGTTCTGTCTGCTTTGTAAATGCCCATGAATTTCTAGTGTCAGTGACCATTGCACACAGCCCAGCCCCAGGGTAGTTTGCATTTCTCGTTGTCTTCTTTCCAGAGCTCATTTTGTCACCTGGAAGGAGCCAAGTCAGAGGGACGTCCCTGCCTCTACACTCATGGTATGTTGTACTTCTCTTCCTAGTGCTTTCCCTTAGACATTTCCCATCCTGACCTATTATGCCTTCTTACTTCTCCCTCTTCTCCATGCAGGGCACTGTCAGAACATTTTAAGATATATTGCATTCCCTTTCTTTGATAATTTTTGTATTAGTACTAAGGGTAAGGTCAGTCTTACACACTGGAATGTCCCCAGATCTTTCTCTGCCATTTCTTTCTTTCTTTTTTTTAATGTTATTATTGTACTGGGGGTACATTGTCACATTTATAAAAGTTCATACAATTCTTTTTATTTCTGCCATTTTTGTGGTGTAATAGTCACATTTTTCTGTTCTCTTTTGAAGTTGTATTTGTGTTACAATTCTTTGACCATTTCTTGGTGCCCTTTCTCATCTTGCCTAGTCTGAGCCTCTTCCTTTACCTCTCTTGGTGCCTGTAGTGAAGGTCATGGAGCAGATGTTGGTGGGAAATGAGGGGACATAGGTAAAATCTGAAAATTTTGATATGATGGAAGAATCAGCTGTATTGATCAGTGAAGAGACAGAGACTGAAGAGGATTTTTGCTGTGTGGATGGATTCATTTGCCTTGGTGATTACTTCATGTATCAATGATAGATTTTTACCTGTTTCATATGTAAAGAAAGAATAGTTCAATTTTACTGAATATTTGCAATTTAACTGGATATTTGGATGTTCATAAAGTCTGAATAATGTGTATTATAACAGATACTGTTATATACTGTTTATATACTGTAATACATACTTGAAAATATTTTTAAACAATGCCTTAATGACTATCAAAATACTAAGTGTGAACTACATGTCAAATGCATGTTGAGTGAGAAAACAGCCTGAATTATGAAACTGGAATAAATGGAGTTTGGGTTTAATTAAATGCATGTTCGTAGGTGATTGTGTGTACCTGTGGGTGTAGGCATTCCTTGGTAAAACTAAAATGACAAACCAGTATTAATCTTAGTTCTGAGCACCTGAAAGTTGATGAGCTCCAGGAGATTATTAGATTACTAACAGTTTGTACAATGTTTGCGTAGGTTTCTAAACACAACTAATATTGACATGTTAAATTATAAAAAAACCTCAGTTTTAAGAAACATGATACACAAGTTTGGATTCTTGTTGTCTTCTACCTATGTTCAAATTTTGTTATGTTCCTCACCCAGTACTCCAGTAGGCAGATTAAAACATGTCTATAAGGCAAAGGAGCAGAACAATGTCCCTAAATACATCTTTGTTTTCCTGTGAGCACATGAGAACTCAGCATTTCCTTCATTATCAACTAGAACAGGCTCCTGGCTCCCGTGTGTCTGGATGGAGATCAGCTGTGCCATCTGGAGAAGTACATTTCCATGAAGAACACCATGAGCTCATTCACTGGCAAATCTTGATGCTGGTTTGTTTCATATCATACATGAGTTTTTAAAGGAAGCATAGTGCTGCTGGGGTTCCATTGAGAAAGTTCTTACCTATACCTACTAACTCCAGAGTATTTCCTACTCTTTCCTGTATCAACTTAAGAGTTTGTGGTCTGATATTAAGATCCTTGATCCATTTTGAGTTAATCTTGGTATAGGATGATATACATGGACCTAGTTTCAGTTTTTTGCAGTCTGCTAACCAGTTTTCCCAGCAGTTTTTGGTGAAGAGGCTGCTATTTCTCCATCGTATATTTTTAGCTCCTTTGTCAAAGACAAGTTGGTTATAGTTGTGTGGCTTCATATCTGGGTCCTCTATTCTGTTCCACTGGTCTTCATGTCTGTTTTTGTGCCAGTACCATGCTGTTTTTATTGTTATTGCTTTGTCATATAGTTTGAAGTCAGATATTGTGATACCTCCAGCATTGTTCTTTTGACTGAGTATTGCCTTGGCTATTCGTGGCCTCTTGTGTTTCCATATAAATTTAACAGTAGATTTTTCAATCTCTTTAATGACTGTCATTGGAATTTTGATGGGAATTGCACTAAACATGTAGATTACTTTTGGGAGTATCGACATTTTTACTATGTTGATTCTACCAATCCATGAGCATGGGAGATCTCTCCACTTTCTATAGTCTTCCTCAATCTCACACACAGCGACTAAGAGATAGCATAGATAAATGGGACCTCATAAAACTAAAAAGCTTCTGTTCATCAAAAGAAATGGTCTCTAAACTGAAGAGATCACCCACAGAGTGGGAGAACATATTTGCCAGCTACACATCAGACAAAGGACTGATAACCAGAATATACAGGGAACTTAAAAAACTAAATTCTCCCAAAACTAATGAACCAATAAAGAAATGGGCAAGTGAACTAAACAGAACTTTCTCAAAAGAAGAAATTCAAATGGCCAAAAAACTCATGAAGAAATGCTCACCATCTCTAGCAATAAAGGAAATGCAAATTAAAACCACGCTAAGATTCCACCTCACCCCTGTTAGAATAGCCATCATTAGCAACACCACCACCAACAGGTGTTGGCAAGGATGCGGGGGAAAAAGGAACCTTCTTACACTGTTGGTGGGAATGTAAACTAGTACAACCACTCTGGAAAAAAATCTGGAGGCTACTTAAAAAGCTAAACATTGATCTACCATTTGATCTAGCAATACCACTCTTGGGGCTATACCCAAAAGACTGTGACACAGGTTACTCCAGAGGCACCTGCACACCCATGTTTATTGCAGCACTATTCACAATAGCCAAGTTATGGAAACAGCCAAGATGCCCCACTACTGACAAATGGATCAAGAAAATGTGGTATCTATACATAATGGAATTTTATGCAGCCATGAAGAAGAATGAAATGTTATTATTCGCTGGTAAATGGATGGAAATGGAGAACATCATTCTGAGTGAGGTTAGCCTGGCCCAAAAGACCAAAAATTGTATGTTCTCCCTCATATGCGGACATTAGATCAAGGGCAAACACAACAAGGTGACTGAACTTTGATCACAAGATAAAAGCAAGAGCACACAAAGGAAGTATGAGGATAAGTAAGACACCTAAAAAATTAGCTAGCATTTGTTGCCTTAACGCAGAAAAACTAAAGCAGATACCTTAAAAGCAACTGAGACCAATGGGAAACTAGAGAAATAGGAACTAGAGAAAAGGTGAGATCAAAAAGAATTAACCTAGAAGGTAACACCCACGCACAGGAAATTAATGTGAGTCAACTCCCTGTATAGCTATTCTTATCTCAACTAGCAAAAACCATTGTTCCTTCCTATTATTTCTTATATCTCTCTTTAACAAAATTAGAAATAAGGGCAAAATAGTTTCTGCCGGGTATCGAGGGTGTGGAGGGGAAAGGGAGGGGGCAGAGTGTGTGGTAAGGGAGGGGGTGGGGGCAGGGGGGAGAAATGACCCAAGCCTTGTATGCACATATGAATAATAAAACAATAAAAAAAAAGGAAGCATAGTGAGTATTCAAAACTAATGTGTTAACAAATCAGGACTTGAGACTTTCTCTTACAGACAATGCATGGTGCAATACAGAGTACAGCTCAAATCATTTTAGGTGTGGCATTCATACTGGGAAATTTAGGAAATGGATTCATAGCTCTGGTGATCTTCATGGACTGGATCAAGAGAAGAAAGATGTCTTCAGTTGATCGAATCCTCACTGCTTTGGCTCTCTGCAGACTTGGTGTGCTCTGGATATTACTATTTGATTGGTGGGTATCTGTGACTTATTCAGAGAATTGGATTAGTGAAAAGATGTTAAGAATTATTTATGTTATCCGGCATGTGAGCAGTCACTTTAGCATCTGGCTTGCAACAGGTCTCAGCATCTATTATTTTCTTAAGATAGCCAATTTTTCCAATTCTAATTTTCTTTACCTTAAGTTTAGAGTCAAAAAGGTGGTGTCAGTGACTTTTCTGGTGTCCCTGGTTTTCTTATTTATTAAAATTGTACTGTTGAGCACACATTTTGGTTTCAGGATTGATGGTTATAAAACAAACATGACTCACAGTTTCAACTTGAGTCATATTGTACGAGTTCCCAAATTTTTTTTATTCACCAACACATTGGTTACATCCATACCTTTTGTTGTGTGCTTCATAACTTTTCTCCTGCTGATCGTCTCCCTGTGGAACATCACAAGAAGATGCAGCAGAGTGGCATAGGATCCAGAGATGCCAGCACCATGGCGCACATAAAAGCCTTGAAAATGGCGATTGCCTCTCTCCTCCTGTACACCATTTTCTTTGTGTCACTTTTTGTGAAAATTTGGAGCTTTAAGTTTCTGGAGAGAAGTCTGCGCATTTTATTTAACCTGGCTACTGGAATTAGTTTTGCTTCAGGCCACTCATGTGTCCTGATTCTTGGAAACAGCAGGCTTAGGAAGGCCTCTCTTTTGTTGCTGTGGAGGCTGAGGTGCAGGTGCAAAGGTTTGTGACCTCTGAGTCCATGGACCATCTTGGGATCATCATGTATACCCGAGAGGAAAATCAGTTCACAAGAAATTTTTGTTTATCAGTTTGTGCTTTTGCCAATTTTTTTTTCTGTTGAATATTACTTTGTGAATTGTACGAAATTGTGCTTGGAACAATGTCCAAATATATTACAATTTTGTAGTATATAGAAAAGTATATAATTAATGTACTTAGTATTATATCAGTGTAAACCTCTTAAATATAAGAAATGTTTATTCTAACAAATAATATGATTTTGTGTAAATTAATTGCCCATTTCAGATTTTAAAATAAGAAACTTAATAATATATGACATATATGTGTGTTTATGCATATGAGCTATAGTTACTAAAGTGGAACTCTATGATTTTGTACACACAGAAAATGTATTTTTAATATGGAAGATGAGCCTAACATACTACATATGAAATGAAGTATTAGATATAGTCTATGGCACTCAGGTACACTACATCCATCATTTCATATATAAGCTTCAGTGTAAAAATTAGAAAATTTCTGCATCATCAGACTGTTCATTTTGTTTCTTGTATAGAAACAGTTCAAATGTAAGAACTCTTGGGATGTATTTATCATAATTAGGAGCACATAATCTACTTTTGGAAATACATTTCTACGTAATTGTCACTTATGGATCACAATCCATTGAGTACAAGATTTTAAAATCGTGGTTCATGATATGCCTTTTATTTGCATATCACACTAGAATATTTTTAAGGTCATTCATTGGGTCATCTTTTCCTAGAGTGGAAAATAACTTAGGATATCAGAGCAACAGAAACTTAGAGCAACTTAAGAGTTACCAACACACAAGATGAACTTTTGTTGTGTTTAAATGTTGTTAGCATTGATTTTATGGTGTAATAAAACATAAATAAAAATTAAATGCATTTATAAAATAATTGAAAACTGAAAATAAATTTGAGGCTGGAGGGATATAATGATAGGGAAACATTGTTGTGTGCACTGTGTTGGGTTGTAATTATATATATGTATATTTATATATTTTATCTATATACCTTGGCTAATATAAAGTAAGATAGAGTCCTGTATATTTTCATAAATGAATAATTCTTATTTTAAGCTTATTTTTTATAAAGAAATTTCCTTTAACTGCTAGGGTTGTTTTTAGTATTATTTTCTTGTCATCCTAAAGTAGTTCATTAATTATTCATTTTTTTGGAAAACTGTACTGTGAACATCTTTTCTGCCTTTGATCTTAAGAATTATGATCTTTTCTTTTTCAACTTTTTGCTTGTCTCAAAGAAACCTTTTATTTATTTATTCATTCATTCATTCATTTATTCACATGTGTATACATTGTTTGGGCCATTTATCCCCCTTATCCCCTATCTCCTCTCTCTCCTCCCCAACCCCCTCACCTCCAGGCAGAATCTGTTCTGCCCTTATCTCTAATTTTGTTGAAGGGAGAGTATAAGCAATAGTAAGACAGACAAAGTGTTTTTGTTAGTTGAGATAAGGATAGCTACAAAGAGAAATTCCTAGCATTGCTTCTATGTACAAATGTGTTACATCCCAAGTTGATTCATCTCTAACTGACCTTTTCATTAGTTCTTGATCCCCTTCTCATATTGACCTCTGTTGCTTTAAGGTTTCTGTATTAGTTCCTCTGCAACGGGGACATCAAATACTATCATGTTTTGGGTTTTTTACCTTTCTCCATACCTCCTGTATGTGCTCTCCCCTTATCATGTGACCCAAGTTCAACCACATTACTGTATTTGCCCTAGATCTAAAGTCCACATATGAGCGAGAACATACGATTTTTGGTCTTCTGAGCCTGGCTAAGCTTGCTCAGAATGAGCATCCATTTTCTTGCAAATGATAAGATATCATTCTTCTTCATGGCTGAGTAAAATTCCATTGTGTATAAATACTACATTTTCTTAATACATTCTTTGGGGCATCTTGGCTGTTTTCATAACTTGGCTATTGTGAATAGCACTGCAATAAACACGGGTGTGAAAATGCCTCTGGAGTAACCTGTGTCCAATTCCTTTGGGTATATTCCTAGGAGTGGGATTGCTGGATCATATGGCAGACCTGTGTTTAGATTTTTAAGAAGACTCCAAATTTTTTCCAGAGTGGTTGCACTAGCTTGCATTCCCACCAGCAGTGTACAAGGGTTCCTTTCCCCACATCCTCGCCAACACCTGCTGTTAGTGGTGTTTTTAATGATGGCTATTCTAACGGATGAGGTGGAATCTTAGTGTGGTTTTTATTTGCATTCCTTTATGGCTAGAGATGGTGAGCCTTTTTTCATGTGTTTTTTGGCCATTTGTTGAAGAAAAATTTTAATGAGAAACTGATAGTATATAATAAAAAAAAGTGGGCATTTTTAATAAGTGACCACTAAAAAGAGGATGTTCTAATATTTAAATGGCAGGTTATCTGCATAGTTCAACTTTTACTATTCACATATGTGTAGTTCTGTTTTTCATGTGATGAGGCTGAGGCCCTCAGATGTTAAAAGACTTAGCCAGCTGTTGATTAAGATCCAGCTGGGTGCTGGAGTAATAACCTCCAGCAAATGATGCCTCTACTCATATCAGTTGAAACTTCAGCACCAAGAGGCTGTTCCCAGACACATGTAGAATGTGGTGGAAAAATCACATAATAGGCAATTTTTAAAGATGTTTTTGTTTGATAGATAATTTTTTTAATGAAGTGAGGTTTATGTGATTGATACTAAAACATGGTCACATGTACAAAGAAAATTAGTAAACATTTTAGACTCAGATGCAGAAGCTAGAAAAAGCTTCAGGAGAAACAGGGAATGCCTGTGTCATGGTAGAGTGTTACTTGTGAGCTGGCAACAGGGACGTGGAGGCGCGGCAGTCTGAGCACTGGGGTCCCCCTAGCTCATTTTCAGGGGCAGTAGTACATCAATGACTCTCAGGCTTGAGGGGCCATAAATTATGCGGAGTCGGATTTCTTTTTTTCCAGACTTGAATTTAACTTTGAAATAGCTAAGCACCAATTTAGTAGAGCAAGTACAAGCATTCTTTAACCTGAACGTACAGAAGCACACACCCTTTCCAAATGTACATGTGTGGTGCCCAGAGCCTCCGTGTATACACTGGCATGGATCACGGTGCTCTCCCACCTCTATCCCACAGTGGTTGCTGGGAACCAGTTAGGAGGACACCCTGTGAACACAACCTACAGAAGAATGTACAATAACACTGCTTGAAACTCCACAGTCCTGAAGACGAACTGGTGCCACCATCTCCACAGACATTTGGCCTTCACTTTCAGTGCATTTACATATAAATATATAGGCATAAATGAAAGCCTCCATCATATACATAGAAGTCCAGGAAGCAGTTTTCAGAGTAGAACTAGTTATGGAAGTAGTAGCTGTGCTTGGTTCTTTTTTCTTTCCTCAGAAGTGTGGGCAAAATTCTCAAGCTTTGTGGTACTGTAATAGCAGTAATAGCTGTGTCAGTTAATTCATGCCACCAAATTCAAGATAACCTCCATATCATTATGACATTTCATAAGTGTACACTGTTAGGTCACAGTTAGCTATGCATGAAGGCTGAGGCAAGATTAATAGATGAGAAGACAGAGAAATTCTATTATTTTAACAGGTATTGAAAGGGCCAGACTCAGACATTGCAACAAGACATTACAAGCTAACAGTCCAGGGCAGTTAGCTCCCTCTTACTTCCTCTAGATGTTAAGTTACAAGGACAGGGAGGCATAAAGGGGTTATTAGCATCTTCCTTTCTCTTTGAGATGCTAACAAGCTGCAAAGTTTCTTGGATGCATAGAAGGACAGAAAGAAAGAAAAGCATGTCTAACAAAGGGAAGTCCTAAGACACATCTGTTGTTCCTGTGTTTTGGGTCAATCCAGATGACATCTCCCTGTGCTTCTTTCTCAATAATTATACTCTACTGGAATGCAGAATGTAGGGAGGGGTCACACATAAAGCTAAAGTTGCCTCAGAGTGTAGTTTCATTGCAAGTAATAATAATAATAATAATAATAATAAAACACCCTACTTAAACCTTAAAAAATGAAGCACAGTAACTATAATTATTGAGGCTATAAATGTTTCTAAGGTAGCATCAGGAGACATTTGTAGAAAAAATATACTTTAAGAAAACAGCTAAAAAATCTGAAGAGATAAAGTAGAAAAAGTTTAAAAATATATGTTAAGACAAATATATTGTCATGGGCACCAGATGTCATGGGGGAATCCACTGACACGCTAAAGGGTTTGTGCTCTCAGAACACTCTCAAGAATAAGAGGCTGGAGCACCGGAGTTACAGGCAGGAAAGGAACTTTATTGATAGAGAAAGGCTGAGCAGAGAGACGAACATTAGGGTCTGGAAATTGGGTGCCTCCTGAGTGTTGGAGTGGGGGGATATATATAGTTAAGGCTTCCACCCTAACCTAAAGAACAGTTCATAGTGGAATCCTATAGGTCCATTCTTGGTGCACACAGGCCTCTTTTTTTTTTTTTTTCCTTCATGGACTGTCAAACATTTTAATTTTTTTTTTCATGTTTTTTTTTTTTTTCATTTTTCTTTTATTATTCATATGTGCATACAAGGCTTGGTTCATTTCTCCCCCTGCCCCCACCCCCTCCCTTACCACCCACTCCACCCCTCCCTCCCCCCCTCAATACCCAGCAGAAACTATTTTGCCCTTATCTCTAATTTTGTTGTAGAGAGAGTATAAGCAATAATAGGAAGGAACAAGGGTTTTGCTGGTTGAGATAAGGATAGCTATACAGGGCATTGACTCACATTGATTTCCTGTGTGGGTGTTACCTTCTAGGTTAATTCTTTTTGATCTAACCTTTTCTCTAGTTCCTGGTCCCCTTTTCCTATTGGCCTCAGTTGCTTTAAGGTATCTGCTTTAGTTTCTCTGCGTTAAGGGCAACAAATGCTAGCTAGTTTTTTAGGTGTCTTACCTATCCTCACCCCTCCCTT